AGGCACCTGAGTCAACAATCCAGGGGCGAGAAGAGGTTGAATCCAAGACGAAAGAGGATGGGGAAATCCCTTGATAGGTAACAAGGTCGGTGGCACCCGATGTCACACTAGTAAGCTGGACTGGTGACAACTGACCGAGCATCTTCTGGAGGGCACGAATCTGTTCTTCGCTGAATGGGCTCATTCCTGAAGAGGCTTCGGTGGTGCTGGTGGCAGCTGCCCGATGATCCCGTTTGGGTTTCCCATTGGCGGGTTTGCCATGAATTCACCAAACGAGTATGGCCAGAACGGCGGCAGTGGTCACACCAAAAGCGGCCCTAACGTTGGCGGTTGTCTGTGGATGGAATATGAGTAGCAAGTGCAGACCCGTCGAGGGTTGTAGTGGACAAGGAAGCACCTAACATGACCTTTTGGCGACTCTCTTCGCGGCGTATATCGAAGAAAGCTTCATGAATTGTTGGAAAAGGTTTCAAATTCAAAATCCGTGAGCGAGTCTAGTCAAACTCAGATTTGAGGCCGAGAAGAAATTTGAAGGTATGTTTCTGTTCTATGATTTGGCGAAATACGGCAAAGTCTTCGGGACACTTCCAAGGGTACACCTTGAATAGATCTAGTTGTTGCCAATACCGAGTAAGAGTATTGAAGTATTGGGTGACACAGAGATCACATTGACGAAAGTCATGAAGAATGGTCTCAACAACAAATAGTTCGCTTGTATTGTCCGCACTAGAATAGGTCTCACGGGAAGCATCCCAGATTTCCTTAACCGTGCTATAGAGAAGAAAATTTTCGCCAATATCAAGTGTCATCGAGTTAACAAGCCAGACCATAACCATATTATTCTCGGATTTCCAAGTCTTGTATGACGTATCTATCGTCATCAGAGCTGGAGCATCACCAATGAGGTAGTCATCTTTGCCTTTGCCGCATACGAACATCATGACTGACTGTGACCATTAGAGGTAATTCTGGCTGGTGAGTTTGTGGCTGGTGACGAAGACAGAATTATTATCTGAATTGTTGGGCAATTGAGACCCAGCCGCAGAGGGGTGGCTAGAATTGACATCACTAGTGGAGGAGTTGCAGACATGGTCGTACTTAGTCATTGAGCACGACTGGAACTGGCTGTGCTCGACTGGAACTGGATGGTAGAAGCAGCGGGCTACTGGTATCTGGTGCGCAGACGGTTGCGGATAAAGATCGGACGCAAACGATCGCAATCGCAAGAGAAGCACGATGCAGGAGATCGCGGACGGTGAGCGAACGGTCTCAAGAGAATCGCTGACGGTGCGCAGAAGGATGCGGACGATCGAGGAGCGGCGCTCGGATGCGGAGAAGCGCGATCGGGAGCGGCGCTAGGCGCAAACTAGGGCAGCGCTCGGTCAAGGACAATCGTGGGAGAGAAGGGCCGTGATCGAGCTGAGCGGGAGAGATGACTCTGATACCATGTGAATTTTGAATAATACTTTGTTCTCACTGAATACATAGATAATTCACCTATAAATAGGCGAGTACAAGAGATAAAACGAGGAAAGAAATCTTCCTACAATAAAGTAATTTCTATAATTATGGAATAAACATAAATACCTATAATTAAGAAATTACTTTTTTTATACTATGACTAAATATAGCAAGTACTAAATAGAATTAAAGTAAATAATAATAAGCGTAATTCCACAATTTTTGCTTTGACTCAAACTCAACTTGAAATCAAAATTATTTTGAGATGTCGACTCGACTCAAAATGTTGACATCAAATTGGCTTAAAATTATAGTTTAATCAATTATATCCAAAAATATGAATATTATATTGGATATTCTATGATATATTAAGTTATATACATTAAATATTTTTAAAAAAATACTTTCAAATAAAATTTATAGCCAACATAGACTATAATAAAGCCATTAGAACACACCCAAAATTCACTTTGAGTCTTAAATTGTGTTTAAAAAATATTCGAACTGATATAGCATCGAGTAAAATTTCAAAATACATTGGAGCAAGTTTCAATTTTTTTAGTAGCCTTAATCTCTATAACAAATACTAAAAGCTACAAACTTAATATTGATTCTTCAAGTAATCACACTATGATTGGAGCTCTTTGGCCACGGCACAAATAATCAATACTCTATCATATATATATATATATATATATATATATGTATA